TATTTCTTCTTTCCCAATCTTTATCCTCTAATTTCTTTTTCTGCCCTCACTACAACCTCCCAGCACAGTGTGAGTAGATGTGGTGAGAGGTGTCCTTGTCTAACGTGGGAACCCTGTCACGTTGGTGCTTGCGTCTTTTGAATTTGATCTTGTTACCTCCCTTTCTTTCTCTTATGACAGAATTTTCTGGCCTCAGCTTGTGCATTTGTTACCCTGCACTTGGGGTTGGCCCTCCCCCTAAAGAGCTCTGGCTCCTTTTCATGGAAAGCTGTGTTTAGCAACCATAGTCTGGATTCTAAGGGTACCTAGTAAAGCTGGGTTGCTTATTTTTCCATACATCTTTCCTTTCAAAGAAAAGAGCTTAGTAATAGGTAGGATATGTATATTAATTTAAAATAAAATATATTAAGTTCATGTTGAAACCTTCATTTCAAATTCAGGTCTACAGGGTTTTTAGTTAACTTCTTAAATCTTATATTTCTGTCTCCTTTTTCTTACACCAAACCCCGGATTCCTGTTGATACCACCATAATTTCTTATTTATTTTTTTCCACAACACACACATAATAGTCTCAGAATAACAATACTACCATTGTCATCAATAGTATAATTACTGAAAACAGTTTTTAAATGTTTTCATCCTTAGGATGTATCTTACCACATATGTACAATCAAGTTTATGTGATTTAAAGTAACTTCTTCCTCTGAGTTTTGTCTCCCAACTCTACACACAGTTCAGATTATTCATATAATTTTGGCTCTTGGTATTTAGAAATTGAGATTTTAAATGATTATGTAAAAATACAATAAATCTATAATACATGGTGTTTGCAGAGAAGTCTTTTATATCTGTTCCATCCTGAGAGTGTGTGTTCATGTGTACTTTGTCTTTATACACACACACACACACAAAGTTATATATGTATAAATGTGTATATGTATACAATTACATATATGTATATAAAATTAACATTTAGGTTTTTTATTTATCTTTCCATTATTTTTAATGTAACCATACACACCCAAAGGTACATACAGATGGGCATTTGGGTTGTTTTCTATTTTTTGCTATTATAACTCGTTTTCTGGCAGCACTTTTTTGTTTTGTTTTTGGATTGTTTAGAGACTTGAAAGTCAAGAGGCTATGATAATAGCCTGAGTAAGAGGAAACAATGACCTAGAGCATGGTTGTGACAAATTAAGATGATAAACTTGTGAAATAGTGGGGAGATAAGATCTGAAAGTAGAATACATGAGACAAAGGGATGGACAAGTGAAGATGACCCATGGATGTGAACTGGATAACTAGAAATACTATAAATAGAAGTAGAGACGTGAAGGATGGAATCTGATTTGGCTGAAAGGATTCGAAGTTTTGACAAATTTTTAAGGTGGTATTAAGATTGTCAACTGGAGATGCTCAGCAGTTGGAAATACAGTGATAGAGACCTTGAAAGTTTTGGAGTAAATATAAAAAATTAGGAATCACTTGCAAGAGGTAATTATTCAAATTGTGGGAGAAGATGTTTGCCTCTTCTCAAAGTGTAAAGAGAACACTAGGACTAGAATGCCAAGGAATACTTACATTTTGAATTTGGAAAAATAAGAGGAAACACATGGAGTTGTTTGACAGGTGGCTGAAGAGTGATAGCAGTGAGAGGAATTTCAAGAATAGAATAAACATTCTCAAGTCTTGCAGAGGGGTCAAGGAGAACGAGGACCACAACAATACCGTTGGATCTGGCACCCAGAAGTCCTCTGCTGACAAAAACAGCAGTTCTCAAACCTGGCTGCTCAGGAGAGGCACCAGTTCAAGATACCCTGACTGAGAAGATCTGGGAGAAGGCCCCAGATGTGCATTTTTAACAAGTTATTACAGATAATTTGATGCAGATAGGACTTTGACCACATTTTGGAAAACACTACCCTACACAATCATAAAAAGATGGTGGTAGAAGTAAAATTGGCATGGTTAAGGCATGGTCGGAGACGAGGATATGGAAACAAAGACAATTCTGCTCTTTCCAGCATCTTGATGGTGAGAATAAATATGGCTGTAGTTATATTTCTTGGTATTCTTTTTAATATTTGCTCATAAGAATAGGGAGATTTAACCAATGTGCATGAGTGTATAGCAGAGCCACCTAACGTGACGTTTATGGCCTATTTGTGGGGGATAGTCAGTATTTAACCAGGTCAGAGAATTGTTCCAGCTGCAGTTGGGTCAGCTCTGCTTAGGGAATTTTAGATGAATGCATTGCTGAAATGGCTCAAACCAAAATGGGGGAAATGAACTACGAGTAAAAAGAATTGCGTAGAAACAGTTGTGTTGAGGGAGGGGCAGATATGAGAGAACAGGAGATTTTGGTTCAGGGTGTTTTCGAAGTTTGAATTTGTAGAGATTTAACCCCAGCCTGTATTTTGTCATGCTTCCCTTACCCTCCCTCCATCTCAGTTATGAGGAGAAACTGCAGTAGTTAAAGTACTGGCATCAGTGATGGTTTATGAATGAGGACACAGTGCTCAGTCCCTTCAGCCTGGGAGGGGCCCTTGCGGAACCAGGATCAGCTAGAGCCCTGCACAGCCCGCTCTGGGCTCAGGCAGCCTGTTTTATGCCCGTGTTCAGTAATGTCGTTTTCTATCTGTGCCATGGTATCAAAAAGACTACAAAGCAGCATTCTCAATTTCTAACAGCAATGTGGTGGCGTTGATCATCTATTAAGGCAGTTCCTATATGGTGTGGAACAGACATTTAATTACATGTTATAGAAACTTAGAATTCTTTAGTTGGGAGGTATTTTTAGACAATTATATTTTATTTTGCATATGAAATGAAGTGAGCATTATTTTAAGAGAACTTCAGATGAAACTTGTGAAAAATAATTTGAGTATAATATGTATGTGAGATATGTACAAATACTTCAAAAATATTGATCGAGACCAGATATGCATGTTGTCAAGCCTCATAACATTAGTTAATGAAGGATCACTATGACTTTCAAATGCAAGTTTATTTTCTTTGAGAAGGAGCTGAAATCGATGGTTCCTAGATAAAGAAAATTGTTCTTTGATGTGAGAAAGGAGAAAGAATATTGTTAAGTAAACAGGAAGCATGAGAATTTCCTCTTTAGAAATCTTTTGATCCTGATATACTCTATAAATTGACTTAAAACTTACTACTCTGTTTCTTGTGTTAGAATAGATGTCAAATACATTTGATTTTGTTTAATAGTAATAGTAGCACCAAAGGAGCACCATCTGTCATTTCTGGCCTAATGAAGAAAACCACCACAAAACTCTGGGGGATGCTAGTGTCCCCGTTACCAAGGCATTGCTTAATGTCTTCCTGTGCAAGATGTGGACACTGCACGTACTAGATCATCCCAGCATCTCCCTCTCCCTGGTGCTGTGGACTCCCTCTTCTGTGGGGAAGCTCCGATGTTTCGGCATCATCAAAAGAGGCGAGGTGGAGTCCAGGCATTCACTCAACTATTAATGCCATTCGCAGGTTCTCTTTAAATTCTGAATTCTCGGCAGTTGCTCTCATCTCAGCTGAATCAGCCCAAGCGGAACTAAACCCTTCATGTCTCACTGCCCAGCAGCGTTAAGGTCTTAGTACTCATTTCAGGCATGGAAGTAGTGCAAGTTGGTATGGGTGAGTTCTGAGGAAAATTGCCCTCAATTTGTGAGTTATTGGAAGGTTTTTAAGTGGAGAGGTGGTTTTTCCTCAGAAGGGACACTACTAAAGAAGAAGGGCTGCCTCTGTCAACAGGACAGACAGATGTTCTCAGTCTCCATGTCCACATCCTACATCTTGGTCCCACTCCTTCCCCATCCTCACTGTAAGAGACTTGGAAGCCTTAAGTGTGTGATTGGCATGACATCTTTGCAGACCTTACAGAGATGAACTGTTTCAAAAATGCCAGTGAGGACTTCCATGTACCTTTTTAACTGTGTATAACTTTAATTTTTTTTCCTCATTGTTCTCTGAGACCATCAGAAGAATCTAGGTGATAATCACAATTTTTATAACTATCGTTGCTGTAGCAATTAAATGTCATGGCCTTTGAGCTCACAATGCCGCACCTTCCCTCTGCATTTCTTCCTGTGCTATCGTGGATAATACTTCAATCAGGGTGCTGCTACATCTTGTAGCTTTCCCATATCCTGTTTTTATTGTGTTCCTCGACTATATGAACAACCCGGTCCCAGAATCCTATTTTAGAGTCTTTTTCTTGGTGTTATTTCTGGTACAATTACTGTGTCTGAATCAGGAAGCAGATGGCATACTCAGAATAATTCAAGGAGGATCCAGTAGAGATGGCCAACGAGGCCATGGTCAGGGCAGAGGGAAACCAAGGGGCTAGTGCTCTACCCTGGCGCTGGCAGCAGTGGAGGCGCTGCCATCCTGCCGTGAAGGAAGAAGTGGGAGGAAAAGTTAGCAGAATCCAGAAGGGAAAAGTTTGGAGAGAGCTACCTTGCTTGAAAGGCACAGCCACCCAGAGGCTACTCCACAGAGAGAGTCAGGCAGAGGGGTCCCTTCTAGCCCTCAGACCTCTCCCAAGTCTCCTCAAGGCGGGACCCAGTGGACAGCCGGAGGGCAGGAGATGCCTTTGATATGTTAAAGGTCATACAGGTGAGCCTCCTGAGGGCAGAGGGGAAGGTACAAGATGTTGGAGAATCAGATCGAGAGGTTCTCAGTTATTTGAAGAGTTTCAAGAATGTTTGTGTTTGGCTTCTTGTTTAAATTTAAGGCTTGGCCTGGAGAAGGAGAATAGTATAATTTGATGAGGTTTTCTCAGACTGGAACTAAGGAACTGATCAGCTCGTGGAAGGAGAAAGCAAGAGCTTTGGGAAGCACATTTCCCTTTCCACGTACCTCTCCAGGGAAAGCGTGACTTTTGTAAGCATCTTAACTGTCTTGTGAGTTCATATGAGTAATTTGGGAAATTTTAGTGATTGCTCTGTTATTCTCGGAATAACAAATATCTAGGCTTGTCGTTATTCATCAACTTTATTAAATAATTTTATTAACCGATCTACATGTATATTATATTTAACAATTCAATATAAAAATAAATACTTTGGGATAAATAATTTACATATATTTTTAGAGCCCCTAGGGCTTACAAAAAGAACCTTAAAAGATCCATAGTCATCATCCGAAGACTAAGAATAATAGTTACAAAAGATAGCAAACCATACATCAAAAAATAAATATAATTTTTAAATATTTAAATAAATAGCCTGATACATTTTAAATGGGAGGGACTTAAGCCAGTGTCGAGAGGATGCTTTGACAAAAGGTAATCCATTTGTTCAGAAATTCTTTAACGTTCGCGCTCTCATCATTATAGACACATGTGTATTTTGTTTCAGGTCCCTATAAAAGAAAAATTTTTTTTAGTTCAGGGTAGTTTACCTTACATATAATTATTCACAATTGAAGTATTACAGGCTTATGGCCTTTATTTTCAAGTAGGTTACACATATTAGTCACATTTTCTTAAAATCAAAATGATGTGCTGAAATTATGTCATAGCAAGTGATAGTAACATGTAAGCTGAGATTTTCCTCATTTCTTAAGTCTGTCAATCTCAACACAAGATATTTTTTACTCTGAATTATATACAAGGAAACATTTTAAAACCATTCTATATAAATATTTCATTAAATGCTTTGTGCAAAATAAAGTTAACCCACCTTTCCTCTGGGTGTAAATCTATATTTACATGTAGGTCACATGTATGCAGTGATATGCCCTTTATACTTTCTTTTCCGAACCTTAAGTCTTCTATTATTCTACTCGAGTGAATCTTTTCATATTTCCCCCCAAAAGAACTAGCCAAGAGTAAGTTAGGACAAGTTTTGTTTTGGGGGAAATTTATGTGAAGAATGTTTTCATACTCATATCTACTTCTATCCCACCTCAATATCAATCATATACCAACTTTTGAAAGTCTAAATATTAGAAGTTTTATTCTGTGGACTAACTTATTGGAAGTTACCTTCCTCTGCTGATAGGAGCTATTTCAACTCTGCATCTAGCTGACAAGCTAAGAAGAAAATATTTTCATATAGAGTGAGATAAAAGATGGGACTTTTCATATTTGAAGTAATTTCTATCCTGGAAGCATAAACCAAATGAGATAAAGTATTTCCTTTAAATAAACTTTTAATATTATATACTTTTTGAAAAAACATATAATTAAATGTTGTAACCTCTTGGCAGGTTAAATTTTTTTAAATATCTGGCTTTTGAACTCATTTTCTAATTTTCACATAATTTTATCTTAATTTTGCATCAAGAATTTAGAGAGTTTTCTGATGTTGGTCAAAAATTTTAGAGCCAGCCTCTTGACATAGATGAGAAGCTGAGTCTCTCATTGTCTAGATGACAGTGATATCAATATACTTTTTAAAATATTAAATGGAAAGAAATAGTCTACTAATACAGTGATCCCTATTTGGAAACAACTAGCTAACACGTTTTTAGACAGTTGGTTACTCTGATTAAAAGCATGCTATTTATGTAGGATACCTATTAACTCATGAAGTTTGTGCTTTGGCAGATGGGATGAGAAAAGAGAACCATCACCTGAGTCCCTTGTATATTTCATGCTTCCTGTGTGTTTAAAAATACTTAAAGCTCTGAAAGTATTACCTATAAATAAGGAGTTCATATCTAGTCTATTGGCCATTTTAATGGTTGCTGTTTTTTAAACATATCTCTTAGTCTTTCCACTAATGATAGGGAAACCCCATAAAAGGCCTTTCAGATAATCAGTATTCGTTATTCTGGAAAACAGTCTGAAGAGATTAAAAAATATGTAATGAAACCTGTCTGCTTTCTGTGAAATTCTATTAGTGTCTTTTCCTAACTCGCAGCTTTGTGTTAATGTGAGGGGTGGCAGTACAGAGGTGGGAGCTTGTCCCTGAATGGGTGGCAGGCAGAAACCCTCTGGCTCTTAGACTTCCATCTTAACACTTTGCAACTCCACAGTGTATCATCTCACATAAAAATGATTTCATGTTCACAGTGTACTCCACAGACACCAAAACTGCTCTCTATACCACTCTAAAGTGCCCCTCATTTATGTTGTTACCAGAAGAGCAAACGAGTAATGCTTTACCTTTAGTTTCTGAGCTGTTACGTTGATATTGCTCACTGACTCCTTGATGTCTGAGTGAGAGTTTTTGCTTTGAGCTATAGTTAGCACTTCCTCCAAAGGTTTGAGTTCGTCCACGAGGCACTGCAGATGATTCAGTTCTGTGGCCTTGAATGATAAAAATAATTACGAGGTCAGTTTGCCCAGACCAAAGGTCAGAACCAAGAAGTAATCTCAAATTTATTAAGAGTAGCAGTATGTAGTTTTCACCATTCCCTCTGTTCTCGGCACTACTATAAAGACAGACCGATATAATTTTCATTATAAGACTGGAAAAACTCGGGTTCAGCTACCTTGATTAGCATTAACTATTAGTTAACAAATGAGTCATTAATTTCAGCTTAATTTGGTATTACAAAAAGTCAAACTTTCTGCACCCAACTACAAATCACAGTTACAGGCTGAATTCTTTCCTAATCTGCATAGAAATTACTAGGACCAGAGTAGTCAGAATGTAGAAGAAGTATGAGATCACATCCTATGATTCTAATGTTTAATAATTTAAGATTTGAGAATCATAGAATGTTAGGGAGAGAAGGTGCTTTTGGATGCCATCTGTCACAGTCCCCACATTTTATAGATTAGGCAATTGTAACTATAGTAATGACTCAATATAGCAAGTCACATATAACTGCATCTTAATTTTTTACTTTTCTATAATTACAGTAAGGTGCATTTTAAAAAATTATTTGTCCAAGCAAATAAAACATGAACAATATTTGGAGGATTTGGGGAAGGCCTCCTGATTTAGACACACACACATTATAATATTTCAGACTTCTACAGTACATTATAATTTCAAAGTGTTTTCTCCTAAATAATCCCATTTAAGTCTCACAGCCACCTTTTGTGTTACTACTACATTTAGCAGTAACTCTATTTTACAAATAAGAAAAGTAAATCTCATAATTTAAGAGTTTTCTGCAATACCACATGACTAGGCGGAGCCAAGTTTAAATTTGTTTTTTTTCTTTATAACATTAACATAGCATTTTAATTAAATGTTTTTATAGTTTTCTGAAATCTTTTGGAAACATGGAATGGTAGTAAGAAGAAAAAATGAATGGAGTTTATCACATTACTTTTGGTTTCAAATAGATTTTGAGTTGTCATTTAGAAACTGCTGGATTTCAAAGAATCTACCACCCTCTAAATTATGCACATACTCACATGTTATCTTTCTAACAATCTTTACAGGGAGAAATAGGACTATATCATACACATTATGACATTTTCATCTACGGCCTCTCAACTTGCTACTGCAAGTTCTACAAGTTCAAGCCTTAAGTTTTTGGCATGAGCAACTTGGAGCTGTTTAGCTTAGAATACAGTCTAGTGTCTTTAAGCTGCTAGAGGTATGAGTTATGTGGTTCTGATTAAGCTAGAGGAGCATCTCTAAGTTACTTCCTTGTCATCTGTCAAAAGAGTAGTTTGAAGCATAATTTCCTTGAATAAATAAGAAGTAGATCAATGGAATTGTACCTATGGCCCTTTAAACCCCATTTCCTCCCCTGAGCTTGGATTCAGCCTGAGACAAGCTCTTCCTAGCACCAGAGTTCTGCCCATTCCCGGTTGACCCACATAGCTGCTAGGAGCTCAGATGACCTATGCTTATTAACTACCTGAATCCCAAAACAACCAAATGATGCTTTTAAGCTTGGAAAATAAGTCATATAGTATAAGTCTCTGGGTCTATTGGCATAAAAGATGTGTAAGTCCCAAATTTCGCTTTATACTCTCCAGGAGGAAGAATTTTGTCTATGACTGCTACTAATAGCTCTAGCTTATATGGTATTGACCATATACCAGATACTATTATAAGTCCTTTACATTTACTCATTAATCCTCACAAAACCATATGAAGTATATGCATTCACAGAAGTAGGTGAGAAACTGAGTCACAAATTGAGTAGGTAACTTGCCCAAGTTCACAAAAGTCAGGACATAGCAGAGCTTTCGGTTCAGATCATTTGGCCCTAGGGTCTGTGCTGTTGATTAGTGCTATGCTACCTCTCAGAGATAGACCCTTAGGAATCTTTCCTAAAAATAATAAAGGATTTTTTAAAAGTGGGCCCCTCTAACATCAATTTTGACAATTTGCATGGTATATAATCCAGTATCTCTAGAGTGTTACATTTTCAAATAAAACAGTAAATCAGCATAATCTTGTTTTAAAACTGTCCCAGCAATAAAGTAAGAATATTATTACTCTTCCCACTCCCTCTCCCCCCAAACACAGACAGATACATATAAAAATATATACAAAGACATTTTACAAAAGCCCCATTATCAAACTTGGGCTTTTACAAAATACATTGAAGTTACTAATTCTTTTTCTCAGATGAGATGCTATTAATACAATCAGTGTGCAAATTTTCATGCTATTTTTAATTTTATTAAAACAAATTGAACTTAGAAAGTTGCACTTACATTGGGCATGTAAAATTTAAAGGTGAGCATGCTGGAGAGTTCGTGATTCTTGTAATTCTGAGAAAACATAACATTGTTATTAAAAAGCGAACTCCAGTTAGAAAAATTAAACAATAACTTTAGAAGGAAAGGGAATAGACTTACATTAACTGTCTCCAAAAGCCGCTGTAAGTCCTTCAGCAAATGCTCCAGCTGTTGCTGTGTTTCCTTCCTAGAGCTTGAAGTAGGTGCACCGTCTGCCACCAGTGCAAGAGTTAGTGCAATGCAAGACAAGAAGTACATCTTGTGCATCGTGGCAGGTCTTGAGGTTACTGTGAGTAGTGATTAGAGAGGCTGATGGGAAGCTCTTGAACAAGAAGAGCAATTTATACTGTTAATTCTGGAAAAATATCATGGGGGTGTCGAAATGTTTTACATATTACACATATTTTCAAAGATTCTACTACCTGTGTGGCAAAAAGCGTTACCTTTATTTTTCCTCTTCTGATGACTCTTTGGAATTTCTTTAAACCCCCATAAACTGACTGAATGGATTTAGGTGAAATCCCTCTTGGTTACATTAGCCCACACTTAGGTGGCAGTTCCAATTCATACGCCTAACGCCTTCTGTATGAAACAGTTTTTCCTCTCTCCTTCTTTAAGGGGGTGGGGATACAAAAGTGGCTCATGAAAATTTTCTCTTTGTCATAAAACTATGCTGAACTTGTGAAGCACCGTGCTGTGGTGGACAAGAGCCAGAGTAAATAGTTGAAAAGAATAAATTTTTAGATTTGTTGATTAAACAGGAAGAATATTGGTTTCCTGTTTCAGGATGGCTTTACCTTTTTATCTACTCAGTGACTGAGCTAATGCATGCAACATGATAGAATGCTTCTTACAGAATCAGCTACAGAAGTATTAAGATTAGAATACATAAAATGGTCAGTGAGCTTGAGGTACTGTTATATGCTGTTTTAATCTTAATATGTTACTTCTTTCTGTTTAAATCTCTTACTTTGTTGTATTTTTTTTTTTTTTTAAGTATGGTGTTAAACAAGTACTCAGAAAAGGTTTTGCATCCAAGGGCACTGATGCTAGTTTTATTTGTGTGTGTGTGCACGTGTGTGACAGATTTTTTGCTCCTATTTCTGGTGGGCATCAAGGGGATAGAATGAGAGTTGGAATGTCGCCAAACCCCAGGATGCCTTTCTTCCTCTTGGTTTCTCAGGGACCACCTGAGCTATCAGGTCGCCCTCCATCAACCATGTACATTTCATTTCTCTCTATGTATATTGAACAGGTTGCTTATATTTCTTTAAGGCAGAAAACAGGCATAACGATAGGAATCTTAAGTTTTTCTGTCTGTAGGGCACTTTCTGGGTACCATTTACATTCTTTAGGAGAAAGATAATGTGATTGGCCAGCATGTGGTGTACCAATACTGGCCCAGTTAGTGTGGCTGGGGGGAGAGAGGCGTGATGGTGGTGGCCCAGAAGGACATGGTGGGCCAGGTGAGGGGAGGGGTGCGTGTGTGCATGCCTCGTGGAGTGAGAGCAGTCCTCAGAGCAGGGGGACCTGGGCTCATGCATTCTGTAACAGAGGCCAGATACAAGTTACTGAGAAGGGTATCCCTTACCTCTCCTTTACTCACTTTGTGAACAAATGAGTAAAGTACTGCAAACATCTCGTGACAGGCAAATGCTCAGAGCAGGCTTTGCATTTAAGGGTACTGATGCTAGTTTTATAGTAGACTTCACATGTGTTGTAAGTAAACCAATCCATATGTTTCTAGTTTTTATCTTTTTCCTCTTTAATAGATTTATCCTCTTTAATAGATTTATCCTCTAAAGCACCCGGGACACGATAATAGTAACGGAATAAGATCAGTGTGTTTCAGTCGGTGCATTGGGTAGGGTCCTGGGGTATGTGTGAGCTGTGCTCAGTGCGGTTCACTGACGGCCTGAGTGAGGGTGTGGGCAGGTGCTTCTCATGCAAACCAGGGAGAATCGAGGAAACCCACTCTCAGAGAGATCGCTTGTAACTCCTCCATTTTCAGTCCCTTATACGTTTCTTGCCTAATCTTTGAACAGACACTCATCCAGCACTTATAACACCCAAAGGTATATAGAACGGGAATCAAAAAGCACAACATGCAGGCACCCAGTCTAGTTGAAGCCTTATAGCCAACCCGTGAGGTGATGCTTCTCATTCTGTGGGTAGAAAACTAAAGCTCAGAGAAGATAGGTAGTTTGTTCTAGGTCCTTTCACCCTTACTGCCAGGAGGGGCAGGGCAAGGATTTGAAACCAGAATATTCTGACTCCAAAATCCACTCTCTACCATTTGTATTGTTTCTAAAGAACCCAATGTGTGGCAGGGAAGACATGCACAGAAACAAGTGTAATTCTGGGTGAAGGAGGACCACTGCCTCAAGAGAGGTGGGCATAAAGAATCTTGAAGAAGGAACAGACCTTAAACTATATTTTGACAACATGGTTAAACTGTAGATACATAGCTCAAGACCAGGAGGAGGGTGGGGAGGCAGGCAACATTAAGTGTTCTAAGGAGCACTTAATAAGTGTACTTGGCAAAAAAAAAAAAACAAAAAAAAAACCCAAAAAATGTTTTGGTGCTATTTATGCATTTGGCAATATTCTGAAGAACATAAAACATCTTACTGTAATTAAAAAATTAGCATTATAGTTTCTCAGGTGGAAAAAAACAATGAAGGAAAAGCCAGGTTAGAGACAAATGATCTTTTCATTTAGAAAAGAGTAGAGACAGATTAGGGACAAATGGTCTTTTCTTTTTATTACTAAAACATGCAAATTGTCTCTCTCTACCTTTCAAATCAAAACCGCAAAGTTAGCATCAGTTCTGAGGGAAAGGCTATTCAGTGATCTTGTTTCGCTTCTCTAAAGATTTCAGTGTCTCATCCCAGCATCACCAGCTCAGGCCTCTACCCTTCCAGAATGGAAGGATTCAGGCCCACGCATTTCTCCGTGTGGGGGCTTTTCCAGTGAGGCTTTTGATCTTCTCATAGTCTTGATCTTTATATTTCTCCAGCTATTTCCATTAGAGCATGGGTCAACATATGGCTGCATTTATGGGAGGGGCCCTGTAGAAATATTAGTGCACAGTGGGCACCACTATGGAAGTCAGTCTTAGAAATTTCTTGAAATGCTTAGGGAGAAAGCGCCCTCACGCTGTGGCGTACTTTCGCTTTTCAACTTGTCTGACACATCAGCTGGCTTTTCTGGCTGCAGTGGTGATAAAAGTCAGTAGTAGACTGCTAACTACCACATGTGTCACACCCCTCACTTCCCCTTTGAAAATAAATTTTGTCTATTCAGTAATAAGCTAGTTTAGTTGCTTATTAGCATCGTTCGTGACTCAGCCTCTCAGACTCATGAGCAGCCGAAGCTCTGAGAAAGGGAGCCCAGTGCCTGGAGCTGCCCCTCGAGGGGCTGGGCAGTGCCTTGTGCTCACCGTCCATCCATCACAGCTGACATTCAAGGATTCCACCGCTGGCGGGAACTTCTCCCAGCCCCTCTCTCACAGCTTGGTAAACTTTGATTTGGTCTGGCTCTTGATGCCTGTCTTAACACATCTCTCACCTCTTTTTCTAAAGGCCTCTTGGCTTTTCAAGATGCAGTTCTCTCCCTTAGATGTTTGGACATAGTGTTGGGTAATCACCCAGAGAGAGAGCAGCTCGAAGACTGGTGTTTCCTGTGAAAACCTGATTTCCGCAGGCGGAGGGTGGTGCCTGGTGTTTGGCCTTACCAGCCCTGTGGTCCTCCATTGTGTGATGCCTTTGCAGGTCTTCCCGTCTGTGGACCACAGTTAAGTCTCACTAGTGTGTGCTCCTCTTCCTGTGGTAAATTGTAATGATGCTCATAACCTTTTGGAATGGAGGAATTATTTCCTTGGTGCTTGAATTTTGCAAGTTACATTTTACTGATAAGAAACTTCACATGTGTAGAGATTAAATGACTTGCCCAAGATGACATTCTTAAATTAGAGGTGAAGTTAGAGCAACAGCTCAAGCCTTCCTGCCCCATAGCAATCTCATTTATTTCCCATGTAAAGTGGTAATGCCAAATCCTAGGCCTACGCGGGCCTGCGGAGGAGGCTGGATTAGGTTCCGCCTCCTATTCCATCTTGCTTCACTGTCAGGGTTGCCCACCTTCACCTGGCCAACACCTTGTCTGGGCAGCTTTACGACTTCTAAGAATTTAGAGCAGCTGAATTCACACGGTAGATGCAAAAGCAGGGTTTTGCTCATGTTTTGAATCTCTTTCTGGGGTGCTTAAAAGCACCAGGGCACTCGATGTTTGCTGACACTTCTCCCATATCTCAGGCAAGGAGGCGATTGCATCCACAGTGGGTCTGTTAGGAGTGCAATGTTCTAAGACTGACGTGGGGGTGTTACAGTAGACAGTTGCCTGCATTCGGCAGCCAAGAGATGCCTCATGTGATGACAATGTGATGACAATGGGAGTATCTTCGAAACCTTTGTAAATTTACATTTTGTGTCAACGTAAGACCCGTATGTCAAGGCACACAGCAGTTATTAGAGGTGGAATGTGATAAGCTTCTGATAGAAATAGATTTGCAAAGCCCTTCAAGTTCATAAGATACTTTCACATCCATTTATCTCATTTTATGGCAAAATACTTAAAGAAACAAATTTTCTGTCTGTATGTATTTAATGAAGAACTTTATTTATTTATTTTTGTACATTAAGAATTAAGCCATGCAACTTACAGATAAATATTAGTTGTCTCTTCTGCCAAGATAAACGCCTTCATTGAAATCTTGTGAGAATAAAGTTATTTACGTTTAAGCTGATCTTCATCTAATTGCTTGTCCTGCCTGAGTTTAAGTTCTCTGTTAACTGTGTGTCCTTCTCTTTTCCACAGTAGCTCTGGAGGTATGATTGACAGTCCATTGCTCCATCATTCCGAATGTTAAAAGATAAGCTGAAGCATGTGAAAATTTTTAAGAATTTATTTGAACAAAAATGGATTCTAATAGGGCAGTATCCAATCTAGCAGAGAGAAGGGAGCTCTGAGGAGCTGTACAGAATGAGAGGCTTTTATAGGCAGAAGGGAGCAGGAGAAGGACAGCAAACCCAGGTGTGTGCTGCAAGGTCGTTTTCCTGTAGAGATGGCTGTGCTCTGTCGGGCAGATGACCTCTCTGGTGCTGATCAAGTGGTTCCTTTTTTTTTTTTTTTAAGTGTGTTCATTCAAGTGTAGTTGGTATATAGTCTTTATTGGTTATATTAGTTTCAGGTGCACAGTGTACCTGATTGTGTACATTTTCTTGATTGGTGCAAGATTCCATTTCCGGGAGTGCTGAGATTGTAATTAAGTCACGGTTTGGTGCTTGGGGTTTA